AAAAGCTTTAAGTTCTAAGTGAAGCTTAATTTTACCCGAAGAATTTCAAATTTACTTGTCTCAAAATATTTCTTAGCTTATTTAGGTTCTAGTGTAAAGAATACCATTGTTTAAGGTGCTTATAGGTGGGTTTGATCAGGATTTGAACAGATTACCATTCATGAATCCAAAATTCGTCCCGCCATGAAACACGTACACGTTTACAGAGTAGTTGGCGCTCAGCAAAGTATCGAAATCGTTGGCGATAACCTCAGCGTCTCGGTGCTGGAATTTCACACCCCAATTGTCGATCCACCCTGGGTAAAATTCAGTGTCAACCAGGGGGCCCATAAGTTTAAACGAACGCTGGGTTTCAAAGCATTTCTCCACATTCTTCTCTCCTAAAAAAATAGATAAATGAATAAATAAATAATAATAATGATGATAATATAATAATAATAATAATAATAATAATAATAATTATAATTTTCTAAATGGGCTTCTAGTAGAGATAATTATATTATCATGTCTTTGCGTAGGTTTTACAGAGTATAAGAATTTAATAATATTCTAAATTGGCTTTTTAAGTAGAGAGATTCATATCATTATGTATATTAGGATCGTATTAGGTTTCGTACCGACCTTTTTTTACTTCTAACTATAGCTTCTCAAGTGGTGTAGGTTACGTTATGCGCCCTATACTACTCGTAATGTGGACAGCATTCCAAAGTTTTATACTGCCACATAATAATGAAAATAATAATAATAATAATTATAGTAATAATAATAATAAATATTTAGACAGTTTCAGAGTTTACCATCATCCTGTAGCTATCCTGTTATATTTTTTAACTAGTGCATAGTAAGGGAAGATTTATACTTCTAAAGCTATGCACTCAAGCGAGGACATAAACAGATCAGTATTATTCATTCAAAATATTTCCCCGATTCTGATTGGCTAAAAGCACTCGCATAATTCACCATAACCAGCTACTGATGACCAAATTTGGAAGAATTTTGCGATTAACCAACCTATGACGTCAAAAGTGCAGCTTCCTTGCAGGTTAATGCGCCGTTAACCGACAAGACCTGGGGACGAGGTTGAGTTGTTTTGGTTGTGAAAACGAAAATGGCAGACATTTCACTCGTTTCAAGAGTAAGAACTAGGCGAGATAATAGCTAAAAACATGGCAAGAACAGCAAGAAGACAATTCGAGGGGCGACATCTGCTATTTCGGGAATATTTGCGGGGCTGAACAACCCTAATCGTGCACTATCGAAAATGAACTTAACATAGATGGAGGTAAACATGTTTTAGCTATGTTTTCAAACTAGGAATTATTTTGAATGAATAATAAAACAATTATTGAATTCGGCTTTCGTATCATATGAAGAATTATGGAGATCTTGGAAGGTGTTATCCGCCTCCGCCTACGACCTCGACGGATAACACCCTCCGAGATCTCCATACTTCTTCATAAGATACTCAGCCTCATTCATTAATTGTTAATTATTATTCATTCCAATTATTTGTCAGTTTCTGATTGGCTAAAAGCACGCGCATAATTGACCATAACCAGCTACTGTTGACCAAATTTGGAAGAATTTTGCGATTAATCAACCGGTGACATCAAAAGTGCGGCACAGTTGCAGGTTAATGAACCGTTAACCGCGAAGATTTGAGGACGAGGTTGAGTTGTTGTGGTTGTGAAAAGAAAAATGGCCGAAGAGTCGGCGGAACATCTTACTCGTTTCACGACGAACTATTGTCTAAAAACACAGCAAGAAAACAACTCGACAGACAACATCTGTTATTTGGAGTATATTTACGTGCCTGAACAGCCTTTATCTTCTAAACATGCACTATCGAGGTGAACCTAGCATCGACGAAGGTAAGCATATTTTAGCTTGTTTTCAAAGTAGGAATTATTTTGAATGAATAATAAAGCAATTAATGAATTCGGCTTTGGTAGGATATAAAGAATTTTGCAGATCTCGGAGGGTGTTATCCACCTCGGCAATCAGCCTCGGTGGATTACGCCCTCCTCGATCAGCATAATTCTTCATATCCTGCTCAGCCTCATTCATTAATTGCTAATTAAATGAGTGACCCTTCAATACTTGTAGGAAGTTTTCCAGTATCAGACGATATCCTCGATTTTGTAAGAACTCGGAATTTTTTTTCTAGCGAACCGCCTTAGGTGTCTCTGACTGAAAAAAAAAACATCTTTCTCATATATTCACCAGGCTAAAAATTAACCATCACATTTCTATCATTATGCATAAGCACATGTCAATCGACATTCCAGGTCTAGCACTATGCAGAATGTTTGTCACAGGAATATAGTTTATTAGTAAATTCCAACTAGTGGTCTATTATCAATGCTGCGTTCTGATTGATTAAGCTACTACTAGGCTAGTTGTTATAGCCCACTAGTAGCGAAAAGCACCGGCTTTTTGGCGGCAAAAGAAGATTAAAGTCTATTTTTGACCAACTAGTTGGATTTTACTAAAACAATTATTCCTCTTGCCCTCATGGCCTCTGAGTTATTAGATAGAGTTATTAGGGACTCAGAGCCCATTTGGACTCGAGAAATAATTGTAGCCTCACTTCCCATGAGTCTCCTGTAGTTTAGTGGTTTGAGAAAGTGAGCGAGTTGGGATAATCGCGCTGAAGTTTCAAAAACCGCGAAGTTACTGAAAGATAGTTTTCGCTCCCTATTAAGGAGTATTCCTATCTCCTCTTTTGATGGGATGGTAGTCCATCGTAGGGTTACCGTATTTATTCGATTAAACGCCGCGGATGGAAGCAAAATTACCAATACATGCTGCCCGCGAATAAACGCTGCACCTAATCAGAGGAATGCGCGTTTACTCGAGGAAAACGGGTAAACTGGTAATTTATGCCATTCAGACATTTACGATTCTATCTCAGGAAAATAAAAGAGAAACTCGAACCTTTAAATATTACATTATATTTACAACCGACTTACAATAACAGTTGTCAGTAATTTAAAAAAAAGTGATTTCGAAATAAACGCCGCATTGGAAACGCTAAAAATTTAAAGAGCCCCGCGGCATTTAATCGAATAAATACGGTACCCCCAACAGTTTGTTGTCGGTATCCATTTATACACGTGGCAAACTACAGGAAAGTTTCTTGTCCAAGGAATCGACTCAAAGGTAGGCGTGAACATAGACCTACATATGCGAAGTTAAAGGCGTTACAGGCACGGCTACCGCGTCTCCACAGACTGTGCAGGACCGGAAGAGGTTAAGTACGAACTAGCTGTATCACTGCGAAAGGAAAAAAATACCTTAAAATTCCGAAAATAAGCCTCGGGGCTTATACTTTTCAAAGGCCCTTTTTGAGGGGCTTAGTTTTGGAGGGGCTTATATTCGGAGGGGCTTATCTACGGACGGAAATTTGCGTTTCAAAATCGATTGGGCTAGCCTTATAAATGGAAGGAAATTTACCGTTTTTTCTTTGTTTTACTTTGTATTTGAGGGCAATTTCCGAGTACAAGCCCCCCGGGGGCTTATATTTGGAGGGGCGATTTAACGGAGGGGTTTTTGCGTTATGAGTTTGCGGGGCTTATATTTAGAGGGGCTTATACATGGAGGGGCTTATTTTCGGAATTTTACGGTACTTTGTTTGGGAGTACGTTTTATGCATATTTTACCACCGCCGGCGTCCACCGTTGATAACATCCCCTGCAGGGTTCCGCACTCAAACATTCTTTCAGTACAACCATTGTTTGTAAAGAGAAGGACATCGTTGCCAAGATATTTTACAAAGAGATCTTTCAAGTGAGCCATGTACTGATGATCACACTGCTCCATGGATCCATATTCATTTTCTACCTAAAGACGAGAGCCAAATAAGAAATTTTCTCATAAGAGGAAAAGACCATCTCCGTCATTCTGACATCAGACCTCAGAGTGTTATCGTTTTCAAGAAAGCTGTGCTTGTCTTTTAGTCTTTTCACAATCAGGGTACTGTATGAAGGATTGGTACTGATATAAGCACGATATCTAAAGTCAAATTCAATGAAGAATTTGGTTGCCACAGATTTTGCTATTCTGCCTTTTGCGTTTAGTCTCTTATAATTACGAGCCGTTCTTTGTGTCGTCACGGAACTCTTTCACAAAGGCTACATAGGAGGCTATCAGACTTGAGCTATTTTATGCCAAACTTTAAAGAAACTAGGAGTTTTACTTCTCCCCTCCGGACAGGATCCTAATCTATGTTACTGCTACTACGTCTGCCTGCTCTGCTTTGTGTTCTTAAACTTCAGAGCTGCTTTCGCGTCTAGTATTGTATGTCACTGATATCCCATCCAGGCAGAGGCATTGTGTTGCTCTCTTGTCCTGGTCGGGATTGTCTTTGGCTTTTTTTTACAGCCAAGGCCAGGATCATACCGTGGCTGTTTCTGGCGTTAGCTTTCCCTAATTCTTTCCTCTGAAAGCAATGACAAAACAATCACGGAAACTAACGCAATGAAGTAATTGATGTCCACTCCGACAGTATAGTAACTTGCGTAACAGGCGCTTGGAAGAAATATGGGTGCGAGAAAAGACAGGGCACGCGACGAAGATATATTGTTTCCATGCGCGTGTCCCCGTCGTGTGCCCCCCTAGTGCGCCCCGTTCTTTCTTGCGTCAACATTTTCTCTAAAGCGCCTGCTACCCAGGATAATACAGTAGTAGGAATCCTTAGGCAGTTAGGTAACCTTTAGATCATAATGCATCCAGTTTTTGCTTCTCACCTGAACTGTAATAACGGGTCCTCCATTAGAATAGATCAAAGGCTTTATTTTTGGAAGGAGCACTCCCATCCATCTGTCTACTGCAGCGATATAAGCTATGATGTTATAACAATGAAACAGATTGCGTCATTGGAAGAGTATGCATTCCAACTATATAAATATACCGATAAGTGATTTGAAAATAACGACACTTGTTGTTTTGTTGTCAGAACAAGGAGGAAGGAGAATGGAGAAATACACATTTGAAAAGAAACATTTGAAATAAGAGATTTCTCAGTCCGGCAGATTGCTCGACCCTACTCATAAGATGTGAGGGTTTGCGAACCAGACCTCTTTGATAACCCCAGCTTCTTCAACTGTGATGGTCGCGAAAAAAATCTAGTGTAGGTAATTGAAATACGGAATTTCATTTGTTATGATACAACTATAAACCACCCCGGCCGATTGGTCAGCACGTGACTTGCAATCCAGCGGTCCTGGTTTCCAGTCCCGCTCTGACCACCAGCTCGATTTGTTCCTTGGTCGTGCCGAGTACAAATCCGGTCATGATGTTTGTGTATAGGTTGCTGGTTGCCCCCTACGTGTTGGAGGTTTTTAATCCTTTTACATTATATTTTCGTGTTACTTAATTCAAACGATTTGTGTGGAGTGCCTGTAAACTAGCTAGCATATCTAAGTCTACTTCAACTATACATAAAGCATTTACAATTTAATTAAGCCTCTGAAAGGAGTGATTACAGTCTAAAATGAACGCGGTATTGCCAGTGAACCATCAAAAACAGCTGTCCTTGGCAGCCAATTCGCCACTGCTTTAGAAACGAGAGGGGAACCGGAGCCGAAAAAATGACCCCTAGTTGTTTTTGGGATCGTTCCTGGGGACGCGCCATTCAGCTATTGGCCAATTTTGCCCCTGTCCCTAGGAAGTACAGTCGACTTCCGATAACTCGAACCTTCAAGGGAAATCGACAAAGGTTCAAGTTATCGGGAGCTCGAAAAAAGTAGCCAGGAGTTAGGAAAAAACAGTTTTTACCGCATAGTGACCATTTTAATCACATTTAATTGGAGAAATGTCAAGTGAAAATTAAAAGACACTTCTAGATTATAAATCAGAACGTAACATAACAAAACTTTGCTTAAATAGAGTATGAGTTTTACTGTTTTGAGAAGTAAAGCTGTTTTACGTTAGATTTGTGACAAACAACATCAGCCTCCAATAGTAAACTATATACCTACAACACGTCAATGGGCAATTCAAAATTCAATGTTTGGGACGCCAGTAGACTGTCTTTTCCGGACTTTTAAGGGCTGAAAACATGGTTCGAGTTATCGAGGGCAAAATAATATAGAAATGACCTGAGGGAAAAAAAAAAACTACTTCGAGTTGGCGGGAGGTTCGAGTTATCGAGGGTAAAATTACAGTAAATGTATGACGAAAATCCAGGGGAAATCGATTTTGGTTCGAGTCAGCGCGAGGTTCGAGTTAGCGAGGATTCGAGTTATCGGGAGTCAACTGTAGTCACAGTCCCACAAGTCTTTGCAAGAGTCAGTTAAGGCTCAGTTTCCTTCCCGTTCCCAAAGTGGGAAATGCCCATGTGATATGTGGTATGTCTGTGCGCATGTGTAAGGTACTGACTTTACCACAGGGAGTTGTGTGGTGTGAATTTATTAGCGGGGCCCCAAGTACGGGCGAAGCGCGCGCGAGCGTAGCCCGATACCTAAGAAAATGTGGTAATCTGCCCATCTGAGAAATTTTGGGAATCACGTGACCTTACCCTCGACCGTCCGTCCGTCCGTCCGCACCATAGGCATACCAATGTAAAATAATTCAATCAACAGGTATGCCAGCCCCCAATGCAACTTGAGTTTATTTGGCGGGAAATGGCATAGCCACCCGCGTCTCGTGAAGCAGAGACAACTGAAGAGTTAATAAGGACGAAAACGGAAAGCGGAAATGGTTTCTGTATCCATGTTTTCTAAAGTATTAAGCTTAGATTAATTATCACGTCCACAAGTTTGGAATATAGAGGAAGAGAAAAACAGAGAAAAAGAGAAAGTAGGCGACAGGCCAGCGAAGCTCAACCAGAAAAAGAGCGACAGAGAGCTAGAGCGAGAGAAAAAAACAAAGGGGAGGAAGGACAACCAACATGAAAAATTTGTAGCAGCGGTGAGAAAATAAGAAATGGTGGCGGCCACTAAGGCGCAAATGAACAAAACAGCTTGTTAAACCAATTAAATTGAATGATAAAAGCATTTGTGGCCACTTACCGGCGTTTTTCATTGTTCTGAATCGCGGCATGTAGTTAGCAGTGTAGTCCTTCAATAACCAAGGCGGAAATCCACCCTGAAAATAATTGTTGCAATTGCGTGATAGAACTAAAGCACCTTTGAATGTTCAAATAAGGTGTTTGAAAAATATATTAATTTTTGTTACACGCTTACCATATCTCGCTCAGCTGCGATAAAAGGGCCTGCAAAAAGAACACGTATGGCTGTAAGAAAACATGCTCGGCAATTAGGAGGCACGCATAGCTCTAGAAAACACGTGTGGTTATAAGAGAAGACGCACGGAGAAGACGCATGGCTATAAGAAGACATTTATGGAAAACACATAAGGCTATTTACGTTTACACTTGATGCTTGAACACTAGTGCCCGGGCATTTTGTGCCCTCAGGCGCTAGTTTGACGAGAGAGCGTCACATTGTTCTGATAAGACTTTTTTTAATGGAAGGTACAGAAGCTAATTAAAGCAATGAGCATTTATATGTAACAATATTTCATTAGCACATATAGCGGGACAACAGAGACTAAACGATCTATAAGTGAAGAGAGTTGGACTAAGTAAAAGTTTTCAAAGTCAGCTCCTCCACTTCACCCTAAAGAGATTCCACTTTAAAATGGACTTCTCGGTCTCTGCTATACTGCTAACGAATTCCAGCGAGCGCCTTTTCTGAGGTATATGAGGTGTATTATCTCTTTTTTCGTTTAACTTACCTGCTCTTATAATCACCAGCAACCCCAAAGATCCTGCCAGCTGCGTGAAGTCAACAAAATCGTTTCCCCCCTCAAAGTCATATTGTCCTTCAACTTTCTCGTGGACCTGCCATGCTATGTACCTGTGAGAAAGACAACACAGAAGTAAGAGCGTTTAACGATCTGTTATTTGGGTATAGTCCATTCCATTGCCAGAGGCTAGGTTCCAGTTGAGAACTTGAATTAAAGTTTTTAAGTGTATCATGACACTTTCGGCGTTGTTTCGAACTAAACCATAGGATTGTATTGGAAAGAAGCATGAAAGGCCATCGAAGCCCTTTCATGGTTTCGTATGGTATTGTCTACAAGATAAAACTCAGATGAAGGTCGAACAACTCATCAACCTTACACACTGAGGAGACCTTAATTACTTGTTGTTTTAAAGAAACAAAGAAAAAGTCCAAAAACAACTGACAGCCAGGAAGCCTCGAACTCGGTTTACTGCATTTGTTATTTAACCACTGCAGTAAAGGAGCAGCCGGTTCCAACAGCCGTTATTTTATAGGTTTTTTTATGGAGTTTCCAAAACGGAAATTAAAACGAAATTTGCCAGTACGAGTAATCGCGGTCGAAATTGTTTATTCTCTCAAAACGAGACGACGATTTTGGTCATGCAACATGTGCAGTTCGAGTTTCCTGAGTTTCGACAAGTTTCATCATCATTATCGCTTGCTGTGATAAAATCTGCGGTCGCTACCGCATCATAAAAAAGTAGCAACGATGATTTCCACCCATAATTTGCCATGTCCTTAGGAGGAGAGGTTTTTCATTGTTTGTTTCCTGGAATAAATAGTCTCGACGCAATTTCTTGTATTGGCAGATTTTATCCGCTTGTCTGCACCCTGAGAAACCACGTGACATTGCTTTTAACCCGTCAGTTTTTAAGCGCGTGTAAAGATGGCGGATATCGTGAATAAGGTCTATACGCCTGCGGTGCAACTTTGTTCCCAGGGTCCTCTGCCACTCGTCCCCCGTAGCGAGAGAGAGAGGGGGACGAGTATGAAAGGAACCTGGGAAGGTTGGCTTGTGGTGTACTCCAGGATATGGGCAGCCTGTGTGTCCTATTTTCATTACGCATACAACAAGAGGGATGTAAGCTGTACTGTCAAACTCCGCCACCTGCCCCCTTTACAGACACCCACCTAAAACGAACACCTCATTATTACAGACAGTTTACTTTGTCCTTGGGGAGAAAAGCCCTTAAATCAACCTCGATCCCAGGTTCTCTCTCCTACTCGTTCTCTCTCGCTCGCTCCGTGGGGACAGAGAGGAGAGAACCCTTGGAACGAGGTTGCCCTTACATTTTCTCTCAATTCAACCCGCTTGATACAAGCACCCCGATAATACGGACACTTACTATGGCCCCCTCAGTGTCCTTTTTAACGGGTTTTGACAATATTTTGGTGTGTCTATGCCAACGAATTATCATTCTGTCGCTATCAAAGACAGGCCTGCAGACTGGACTCAGTTTAAAAGCGCTGTCCTCTTCTCATTTGAACAAAGCTGGAGCCCGTTTCTCGAAAGTCCCGATAATTAACGGGCCCGGTAAGCTGTCTCCGTCTACATTAAAGATCGAGGTTTCAATAGTTTTGCATCTAACGTGATAAAACTGTCAGTTAATGAAACAAAATGGAGTTGTTTGCTACTTGCTAGCCAGGAACCGCGTTCTTATTCTTTATATTTCGATTTGAATATTTGATTTCGGGCCCTTTAAGTTACCGGGACTTTCGAGAAACGGGCCCCTGATCACTCCACTAACGACGACCTTCTTGTTCCCTTAGAAGATCTTAGAACTAATCCGTAGCAGCCGTGGCTCTGTCAGAAAAGTACGCGAGACTCACATTATTGACAAAACACAGGGCTCCTGCAAAACATTAGAGTCGTGGTATATAAAAATAGACGTGATAAACTTAATTAGTGACATTTATATTTTTACTAGCCTATCATTTTCATTTTCTGTTTGCCGTGTATTCAAATCTTGCAAAGAGGTCGACTTGTAGCAAGTCTAGTTGCAAACCGAATCGGGTGACGATATCAGCATGAAAGTATGGTTTTTCATCTTGCTCTAACGCAAACAGTAAAGGAGCAAGAAAGGTGTCTGGCAAAACAGCTTGAAAGTGGCGAAAAGGAAAAGAAAAAGAAAGATGTAAATAGCAACTTCCAAACCTCATTATTCTCTTTTGACACTTTCAAAGTCTCATCTTCCGGAAAGGTCTCGAAACTGAAAAGTCACGAAAAAAATAAGTAATGAAATCACGAATATCGATTATTAATTCCAGTTCTTCTATAAAGGACACGCTCTTCCTTTTGGTCACGGAACACGAAGTATATTTATTGAATTCACAGTTCACGAAAAATAAAAACAGCTAATCACGTATCATGAAAATATCCCCTTTTTTAAAGACCCTCTTAAAAAGGGTCTCCTGAAAATTTCGGTTTTAAGTTAAGACAAACGTCTCCATGTCCTATAACATTCGACGGGACCCATCAGGGTCCATGCATCTGAGGGTTGCTAACAGTTTCAGATGAGACGCGACGAAAAAGCCACCTAAAATTAACTGTCGAGACGACCAGAGTTTAGTGTCTTTCTTAGACTTTCTCTATCAAGTGGCTCTTGAAAATCCTAATATATTTTTTGGTTGATTTAGAGATTTTTATTCTGACCTCGCGACCTTGTCGCTTGCTCGGTCTCCGGCCATTAAAGCTCGCTTCGCTTGCTTTAAAGACTGCTTCGATCGAGAACTTATGGGCCGTTGAATTGAAGCAACGGCTAGTAGGTCTGTCATGGCTCCACCCCACCCTCCCCAAGAGGTTGCTTGCAGCAACCTGTATTTTGGCTACCTACAAGTAGCCTGCGAACAGCAGACGCATTTCCGGTCGTCGCTTCTCTCTATTTTTCGGAGGGAGAGAAGCGACGACCGGAAATGCGTCTGCTGTCCGCAGGCTAACAACAAAGTGACCCCAAAGACAATAAAATCGGCCATCTGCAGAAAACTCCCTCAAAATTGAGTTCCGCGGTGTATCTCCATAGAGACAGGCTTTAGTATTCTTTAAAGTCTGGATCGTAGTACATGTTATGTACACGAAATCGTGACTGTTTGATCCATTATTAACATGCACGAAACCCCTTTTTGGCGGTGCATTATGCATGATACAATAAATTGTTATGATCATTAATAAACTGACATAAAATTTCGGACACGTGGGTCATCATGGCGGCCGGACCGAACTGGGCGAGCTCACTACAAATTCTAATATTCCTGTTTGTAACAGCAGTTTTAATTCGTGAAAGGATAGGTGACGACTTTCCAGAGTCCTACCAGGCCACAAGCGTCTCAAAGATGCTTGTTGCACCGGAATTCGTCTCAAACTCGACAAACCATGGAAGATTCAAATCTCGTGCCAAACGATTTACTTCACGGAGGGTTCTATACACGGCCAAAGGAACTAGAAGCTTCAATCTGGAAAGGGACTTGCTTTCGTGCGGGGATGTGGCCACAAATCCTGGCCCGAAAGGGAAGAAGTCGATGTCAAAATACCCATGCAGTGAATGTCACAAGGCCGTTAGAAATAACCAAGACGCCATCTTGTGTGCTACATGTGGAAACTGGTCGCACGCTAAATGCCTCAATATGTCTCGGCACATTTTCCAGCACTACTTAGACCAGCCCGATATTGATTGGACTTGTCCTGCCTGCGCTCTTCCGCCACTGACGGACTTCTTCTTCGAAGAAGTTTATGAAGGTAATACACAAATCATTGCCGAGGATTATCAAGGGGGAACAACTCAATTTACGGCCGAATGTTCTACTGAAGGTGGATTGGAAGAACATAACTCCGACAACGTCCATCTAGAATCTCTACGGAACCATCTCAAGAACGATGTTTTGGTCTCTCATATCAACATAAACAGTATTCAAAATAAACTTGAGGAACTGGAAAACGTTATCAAAAAGATCAATGCACACATAATATTTGTTAGCGAAACCAAAATCGACAAGAGTTATCCAGATCGTCAATTTCCTATTCCTGGCTTTCGGATGTATGGGAATGATAGGAAAAAGGGCGGTGGAGGAGTAATGGTGTACATATCTTCCAAATTGACTTGCAAGAGACTCGCGTTAGAAAAGAGTTATAAAACAATAGTCTATTGCCATCGACATCAGGATTGACAACAGGAATATGGTAATTCTTGGAATCTACAGACCACCGACAGTTCTTTCAGGAGACTATCAAACACAGCTGGAAAACGAGCTTAGTGACATTTGCCCGGGGGGGTACTCGCAGAAAAATTGGGTAGGGGTGTGCGGCCCGCTTCCCAAAACCCTTACCCTATTTATGACCAAAATCTGCGATTTTCCCTACCCTATTTATGACCTAACCAAAAATTTGATACCCTATTTTGTGAAGGGCTTTTGTTGCTTGTATTTTCTAGCCTACAAAGCAGCCGGTGGAGAGGAAGGCAAAACGCGGATGGAAGGAGGGGGACATGATAAGGAAGTAGCTTCTTCTAAAAAAGTGCATTCAAGACTACAGTGCAAAAATCGTTACCCTATTTATGACAAAAATGGCGGCAAAATAGCCAAAATCGATACCCAATTTATGACCAAAACGGCTGAAAAACCCTACCCTTTGGGGCCGCACATACCTATATAGCCCATATTAGGGAGTACCCCCCCCCCGGGGACATTTGTAACTGGGCTAATCTCAAAAGTAATTTTGTGCCACTTTTGGGTGACTTAAACCTGGATAGACTGAAACCTAACACAAGCGAAGGTAAATTATTATTACATCTTGAAGTGGAACAAGGATTTGAATGTCTTATTACGCAACCTACACGTATCGCCACCAGTGGGAATAAGACAACCAGTACTCTAATTGATGTATTGTTGAGCAATAGACCCGATCTATTCAAGCATAGCGGAATTTATCACCCGTCGTTAAGTGATCACTGCCTAATTTATGGAATCTTGAAAGACAAAGTATTATCTCATCGGCCGAAAGTCATAACATTCCGAAGCTATAAGAACTTTGATGAATGTCTTTTTAAAGAAAGTTTATCAATGGCTCCCTGGCACGTAGGTGAAATCTTCGACGAAATTGATGATCAAGCTTATTATTGGAGTACTTTGTTGCGAAATGTGGTTGATGATCAGCTTCCCTTGAAAAAGATGAGAGTCCGCGACAAAGACGTACCGTATATGACCACAGGTTGGAAGCAAGCAATACGTGCCAAGAGAAGAGCTACAGTGAAATATAAAAACCATCCTACCCAAGAAAACTGGGAAAACAAAAAGAAATGCAGAAATGAGGCCACTAGGCAAAGACGTTTGGCGATAAAAGAACATTGGAGAAAGAAAGCGGATGATCTAAAGGTAAACCCGAGGGACTTTTTTAAAACATTTAGGCCATTCTTATCAACAAAGGGTCACAAGGGTGATATCGAGATTCATCTTAGAACTGACGGCGATGTCGTAGAAAAAGATCAAAGCAGGGTGGCAGATCTGTTCGCTGATTACTTTGCCACAATTGCTGACGGTATTGGGGGTGATAAAAGCAAATTAGATTCACCGGAGGACTTTCAAGATCATCCAAGTGTAGTAGCGATAGCCAATAACATCAGAAACAAACAACAGTATGACATTGAGCCTATCAGCAATGCCCATGTAGAACGTACACTGGAAAAGCTTAACGAAAGAAAGGCAACGGGGTACGATGGTATTCCACCTAAAATCATGAAAATTGGAGCAGCTCAACTTTCGAGTTCGCTCGCTATCCTCTTTAACTCATGTATCAACAACAGAAAATGGCCTAGTCAATGGAAACGAGGTGAATGGATTCCGACTTTTAAAAGAGATGACGCTCAAGCGATTAACAATTACAGACCAATAACAGTTCTGCCATGTGTCGATAAAGTGTTTGAACAACTGCTAGGAAAACAAATATCTGACAAATTTGAGAGTCAGCTCGCTGATTGTCAATCAGCATATCGAAAATATCGTAGTTGTGAAACTACCCTTGTTGGTCTTGTTGAAGACTGGAAAAAGTCAAAAGATGAAGGCTTGTCTGTCGGAATTTTATCTACGGACATGTCCAAAGCATTTGACTCGGTTCATCGGCCTCTATTGTTAAGTAAACTCAAGTCTTACGGTTTTAACGACAGCTTCGTTAATATGCTAAATAGTTATCTGTGTTCCGAAGCTATCACCAACATTTTTAAACCTCGTGATTCATGCTACAGTTTAAGAAATTCAGACTTTCTTTTACCCAGGTTTAACACAGTTTCATTTGGTAAGCATTCCCTTCGATATTTAGGTCCCATTTTATGGAGCAAGCTGGACAAAAATGATAAAACGTGTAAATCATCAAGTGATTTTAGAAACCGAATGCGTAATACGGATCTGACATCTCTTATTGATGATGGATGCAATGGATGTCTTCTGTGTGATACTTGATGTCTCATCGGAAACAATTTTAGCATTTTAGTACTCAGCTTTAGTATTTTAGCTAACAATTTGTAACATATTGTATGGATTTTTTTATCTACTTAATTATTGTATCTATTATATTTTAGCTGTAGGTGTCCCCTATTAGTAGAGGGCCTGCCCCTCGGCTAGTTTTTCTTTCTTGACACATAAATAAAGTTTCTATCTATCTATTGGACTTTTGAGTTGAAAAATACTCACGTCTGTATGGCATTTAACCCTGCCGCTTTCATCTTCTCGAGCCTGTCACGCCAAAAAACGCGAGGGACCCTAAAATAGTGAATACTTCCAGAAATATAGCGAAATGGCTCGCCATCTTTGAGGAAGACATTGTTTTTGTAGTCCACGGTGAAGGATCTCGCTGCTGTTTGATGGAAGAGGATACATGTCGCATAAGTAAGGCAAACAAGCAAGTAGACTCCGATGGCCATTTTTGCTATCACTGATACTGGAACTTGATAGCTCATTGGGCATATAAAAAATCAATCTATCAATCAATCAATCAATCAATCAATGTAAATGTAAATGTAAATGTAAATATCATATTATGTCCTCCCCTCAGGGCTTTTCAGGGATAATTTACAACCCTGGTTGGGGGGCTTTGCCAGACGGCTTGTGCAGTTTACAGGTAGTGAAGAAATCAATCAATCAATCAATAAAAGAAGTGACCCACCGATTATTCCATCGATCAGGAAATCGATCATGTTGTTTACCTAACCTCAGAAACTAAATACCCAAATTTCTCTAAGAAACCTATGCAGAGATTTTCATAATTCCTACGATACGTTACGTTCATGTTTAGACAGGCATAAAGTAACATTTTAATTTGGCTTTACTTGCGTAAACAAATAAGGTATAAGGCTGGGAGAAGTTTCCTGTTTAAGCGCGACTTTTCATACCTCGCCTCCAATTTCTTCTCGCTACCGTACACGCGAATCTGCAAGGGGCAATACAGTAGCGGGTCCAGACCTTCAGATGAGGAGGGGGGCGGGGCGGTCATCCAGATCAGGAGATAAGGAAGGGGGGGTCTCTAAATTTTTTTTTTCCGCCCTTCGCCTCAGTTTGGTCCCCTCTCCTAGATCCGCCACTGCAATATAAGAGCGATGGTAAATGAAAATTAAGTGTATGAGGTTCACGAGATGTATAAGCTCGATCATATTTCCGCTCTAGTTAGTTACGTTGAGGCACACTCAGCCTCGTCCCCAGTCGTCCTCGGCGATTTCGGATGCGACGTCACCTGTCAAACTTTCTGGAAAATTGTCACTTGTCGCACCTGTCAAGGTTGTCGACTAACGTGAAACGTCTTTTCATAAATCCATACAAATCCTTCAAATTTTTTTTTTTTTTTGGGGGGGGGGGTATATCAGAGCATAACTGGGCTATTTAACAATTGTTCCTCGAGCCCGAATGGGCTCTGAGTCCATAGCCCATGAGGCCGAAGGCCGAATGGGCTATTAACTCAGAGGCCATGAGGGCGAGAGGAATAATTGTTTTAGTAAAATCCAACTAGTTGATCAAAAATGTCGAGACAAAACAATTTTAGCTAGCAAACCGTGATTCACCCGCCATTGTTTTGGTTTTCAAAGCCGGCTCTTTTCGCTACTAGTAGGCTATAACATATAGCCTAGTAGTAGCTCAACCAATCAGAACTCAGCATTGATAATAGACCACTGGTTGGATTTTACTAATATCTCAGAGACAATTTACCCCGAAATGCTAATTTTTGGACCTCTTGGACGTTATTCTTTCAGAATATCCTCACAAATTCCATAATTTCAAAAATCCAAAATTTAACCCGTAACTCCGTCAAAGATACCACTCCATTGATACCCTTTTATAAGCCGAGATTTACAGTATGCAGGGTTGATCTGTTGATTATTTCATCTTATGATATTTTCTTTTGCCCCTGATAACAGATTGGAAGGATGCTCCCACGAACGGACTGAGGGAAAATAATATAGTAAAATGTTGTTTGCAATTTATACCCCAACACATTCAAAAGCGAAAAGTTGGAAGCTATAATTTAAGAATAATTGACCGGAACATTTTCAGCCTCAAATTGCCGAAAAATGAGAATATTCAGCCTGGGCCGGAAAAACAATATTCTTATATAAAGAAAAACAAAAGAAAAGAGTAAAGTTAAAAATTTTCTTCTGGAGTTTGAGCCTTTTATTCATTTAAAGCAATAAGAAAAGATGTAAAATTGTAAACTACGATAGGTATACGAAAGGGGTAACTGTTCTGTCAAAAATGGTATATAAAACGTGGTTAGGGTTAGGGGTCGGACCTCAGAGCAGAGCCTTTCCGTATGACACTTCGTAGAGTACACCCCCCCTTAGAAATCCTTGTGTCAGCGATGTGTAATTTCTCTCCATAACAACACTGCTTTATTTCATTTTTTCTAAAACACTTTTAAAAGACCTTTCTGTTGCTATTCAAAGGACGTCTGTAGCGTGCGTAGCGAGCGTTTTCTATTTTGCTCTTATTCCAGTTTTCTCGACGACTCAACTCACGGGGAATTACTACAATGAGTACAATCAATGGACTGAATTTTTCCAGGGACACCCAACGACTGTTTTCTGTAAAATATCTGTACGAAGAAGCGAATATTGCCTAGAATGTTTTAGCACTTGAGGACGGCTAAAAATTTCTAGATAACCTTTCCATTAAAGTACATTTTTCGAAGCTTATCTAATTTATTCCTTACCATTTATACCAAGTTTAATTTTCACATTTCACTCCCTATGTTGGGCTATTTTCGTAGAAAAAAGGAGAACTAAAATTTTCGGATTCAAAAATGTGATGGAGAGAGGGATCAGAAGATGTCTCACTTTCGTAACACGTCAAATTGCACCTAAAATTTTTGGGAAAATAATACTCAAGCCCTTAAAATTTCGAGAAGACTCAAGTCCCCCTAGGATGACCGAACAGATACAAATTTTATAGCGCCGCTTAGAATGTATTTTTACCGATACTCTGGATAGCCTAAAAAGTGTTTTCAATGTTTTTAGGAGGAAACTGTCGTTGGGTGCCCCGTTGGGTGTCGTTGGTGGGAATAACTAAAGCAATCAATCTGACAAACGGTAATGCTGTTTCTTGAAATTGTTCAAAGTCATGATATATTAAATTTAATAAGGCTTGTTAGAATTGAGCTTAATTTGTTATTACAGTTTAGCAAGGCTTAGTATAATAATGCGAAGCCACCAGTTGCTAATACGACCACATTTTCACGGCTTAACCGTGGTGTATCAACGGGTTCCACTAAAATTTGATCCATTGCTAACTACTGATCGTTCCTGCCACTATAACTTAGATTATCACTTCATCCTTCTGTTGCACAGTATCACCAGACAGAGTTTGGTGAGTTGGAAAGGCACAGGCGAATTTGGAAGTAAATGTTCCAGTCTGAAAAGCAATTATTTTTCTGGTGTTAAATATATATCTTTTAAAAATAATATGCTTAAGCTACAATTCATTCCATAACCGAGCGGCAGCAATGAAAATGTCTTCAAATTTGTAAAGGCAGCTTTAAAATAGCACAAGAGAGTTCTTGGATCATTTATACATATCGGTCAGTTCAAGTTGTGCCCATCCCTCACCCCCTGGATAAAAGCTCTGGCATTTGCACATTTCTCTATCTTGGATGCTAAATTCCTGGGGGTAGGGACACTAAAACTACCAAATTGATGAAGGATCCAGGAATATGTCAAATGCCCCACCCGTGGGTTCATTCACAATCAACTTAAAACAAGACTGACTTAATTTTTTTGCTGTTGATAGCTCAAGTTGTCGCTTGATTAAAGCAAAATAAAGAAACGTATTAAGTTGAGAAAACAAACACTTAAAAATTTACCGAGACCTTGAATGACAAGTCAATCTGTGGCAAATGGCTGGACCTTCGCAAAATAAATACCTGATTCCCAAGCCACACTATAACTACCAATATCCAACCCCAGGGACTCGGTGTTATTGTGGTGGCTTAATGATTAACACCTCATTCTTTTGTTGCTGTAGGTCTGGGTTCAAGCTTTACAGTCTCGCTTGTTTAGTAAACCACTCTACCCTGTTGGTCCCTTCCTCTTCAATCACCCAGTTGAATAAGTGGGTATGAGTGACATACTGGGGCCCCTCCCTTATTTGCCTATACGGGTATGTGGCACTGAACAGGGTGTGGTTCTCAGGGTAGAGCCTTGTACAGGGTATACGATGTTGCCATTTAGCGTCTTGATAGGGTATCTTTTTGGACCAAAAGCCATTCTTAAATTATGGCTTAAAAAAGTCGTAAAGGTTGGCGATGATCTTATTATGTTGTATGAACCATAAAACTGCAGTGGTACCAATGTAATAACAAGGTATGACTCATAATCTATGTATATTTTTTTGGTTTGTTTTACTTGTTCACCACTTTTTAGTTAATTTTCTAATATTTCGTCACTTAATAAATAACCTTTTTTTCATGCTCATCAGTGATCACTCACTGCTTCTGCTCTATGATTATAAAAGGGTTAAAAGTCAAAATACTCTAATATATTTACATATAAGGCATGTGCTGAGGGAAGAATTGTCCCTGTAAGGCTTGGTATGGTTCCTTTGCCTGGTTTGTCTGGATCGCACTTCAGTGTAATTTCTGTTTGCCTAGATAAACCATATATCAATTAAATCTATAACAGCTATACCATCTCTCTAGCCCGGCGTTACTTGAAACAGTACTACATGAGAAATTTCTGCAATTTGAGACTGCAAGTGAAATAGGAGATTATTTTGAAATATCGCGAGTGGTATTTACGCCAAATATCACGTACAAATCATGTTAGTATATACACACTCAGTGATCTTGGTGATTTAAGCAATCTGATTGGTTCGCTATCTCGGACTATTCAACAATATTCACCTCCTAGCGAGTGGATAATGTGTGAGCTCGGTGTTTTTCCCGTTTTTTTTAGAGAACGATCTTTTAAAAGTCGACAAAATCCTAGGGCTGACTTTTTTTAAGGCAAGAAAAGACTTGGAAGGATTCAATACGGCGTTTTTCAATTTACTGTAGCAGGAGTTTTGTGCTCGATGGATTGTTTACAACTCCCGTGTATTCGCGTAGAAGAAGCCGTTTCGTGAACTCAGCGTTTTCTAAGAAGAAAATTTTGGCTCAAAAATCGAGGTTTATTTATGACAAACAAATTTAAAAGGAAATGTTTGCAGAAATTCTACATTTCAAGTAAACAGGAAAAAGAATGATACAGGAAGACGACATCTTACCTCGAGCAACCGAGCCGCCATTTTTGTCAGCACTTCATGCGAAGAACGACACAACATGCCCTTTTGACTATAAACTTGGCGAGTCAACAGAAAACAACACAGCTCTACTTTTCTTCTCAGGTAAGGAAACAGTTCAAACTTTTAGCGATTCCATTGAAGCCATTACGCTGTTGTTTGCGAAATGAGTAAACTTGTGAATTGCCATGTTTGAAAATTCTGCAAAGATCTATTTTTAAACTTACGCGTGATTTGATCTGTCAATCAAATCCTACTTTTGAATGGTTTCCTTTCTGATTTTGTTGAGATCACTTCGTGTGTATATACTAAAACAATTATTCTTCTCAATCTCGGTGAATAGTGGCTTTGGGAATATTTACCTCGCCGCTTTCGCGGCTCGGTAAATATTTTGCCACTATTCACCTCGATTTCAAAGAATAATTGTTAACTATTATTTGTTTATACTACTACCCACAAAAGGTTTGTAATTTTCACATGTAGGTATTTCAAATTAAGCTGAAATACCACTGCTCTAAGCCAATCAGATTGCAGAAATTTCTCATGTAGTGATATAAACGCTGAATATTCGCGCCAAAATTAAGGAGTAGTTCGTCACCTATGATATTAGAGGCATAAATACCAGTTGAGATATTTCAAAATTGCCTCAAATTTCACTCTTTACGTATATCAATTTCGAAATATCACTCCTGGTGTTTATACCAAATATCACTAAAAATAATGCTATTCCATATACTAATATGGTCAGGCAGGGAAAAGGGCTTGAGTACTGGCTTCAAATAAGTTATTTCTCTTGTCAAAATTTTAGGAGTTCATGGGAAGTTATAAAAAAGGGGACGAAAATGTTCCCTTGGCTGTTAAACCAGTTATTCTTTGACCCTTTCCCCCGATCGTAGACTCTGGTTTGAAGATAATGTTGCAAAATACCTCCACAAATTGTCAGGATTTTTCGATGCTCCATAAGTGATAACAACATTGCCTTCACTGTCCACAGAAAAAGTGGTGTCTGCTGTCCCAGCTGGATAATTTTCCGTATAAGTCCTTTGACAAGACTGAGGGAGAATAAAAATTATCAAAATTTCTATACAGATACTTGTCGTCATAAATTTACGGATTTGTATATGCTAGCCAACCGAAATTTTACAACTTTTGGACGCCAGGTCTGAAAAAGGGCGGGGGAAAATGGCATGTCTTGGTCTGAACTAGACAGCTCGGGGTTTGATCAAAACCTTCACAAAAAGCGTTTTTAAACCTAAAACAAACAATTAGTCCGGGCCACCCTGACTTCTAAAGCTGTTTTCAGTGTAAAGGCAAACATTCTGGGTTCTTATGCATGCAAGCAGTTAGCGCTTTCAGAAACAGGATAACAACCAACTCACTTTAAAAAGTGAGTTGGTTGTTACTTGTTGGTTAATATTTGCTATTTCAATATCATTGCTAAATTCACTGTGTTGTGGACTATCAAGTCCTTCAAATCAGGGGCACCCAATGACTGTTTTCTGTAACATATCTGTTCGGAGAAGCAAAAATTGCCTAGAATTTTCTATAGCTTGAAAAAGGCTAAAAATTTCTAGATGACCGTTCCACTCATGTACAATTTTCGAAGCTTATCTAATAAATTCCCTACGATTCTCTGAAGTTAAATTTTTCGCATTTCTCTTCCAAGATTAAGCTATTTTTCGTAGAAAAAGGAAACCTAAAATTTTCGGACTCGCAAATGCGTTGGAGAGAGGAATCAAAAAATTTCTTACTTTCGTAAAACGTTAAATGGGTCTTAAATTGCATCTAAAATTTTCGGGAAAATAATGCTGAAGCCCTTGTAATTTCGAAATTCCTCAATTTTCCTTAGGATGAAACAGATACAAATTTTATAGCGTCGCTTAGAATACGTTTCCAGAGATCTTAAGATACTCTGGATAGCCTAAAATGTGTTTTTAATGTATTTAGAAAAAAAGCCTCGTTGGGTACCCCTGTCAAATTGTATGTTTTGTATCTGCCACGCTCCAAGAGTTAATTGGCATTTTTCGTGTCACTAACTTACCGTCACATTGTTACAGCCAGATACACCAGTACTGAAAGGTGTGCAGGGGTTCCACTCAAAAACGCGTCCCTCAGCTTCCGGTATTTGGGTAAAACTAAAATGAAAAGATAACACTTTGGTACATTACTCAAACAAATTCACTGGAGGTTGTCTTGATCATTGTTAACTAACATAAGCTTAAAGCCGAACATAAGAATATTTTATGACCATCGTCGACCGGTTGTAACGGCACAGAGAACAAACTGCGTGAAACGGAGAAGAGGGGGGTAAGGGAGAGAGTCCTACGCACGTATCACGGACTTCAACAAGTAATAATAACGCATCACTGTGATTAAAATTCCGAGTTCATGTTTCACGGAAATTTCCGAAGGAAAAGGACAGCGGATGGCTAGACCTGTTCAGAATGCTGCTGTCTGCAGAGTTAATAGTAGGGTTGACGTTTTGCCTTTTCAGCCTCCCGCCGCAGAGCTATTGCAGAGAAAGAGAAGTAACAGAAGTCAGTGGACAAGTCAGGTGAACGTACAATGGCCGAATTTATACCAGAGAAGAGTTATCCGTCTAGACAGATTATCCTTCAGACGGATAATTCGTTTAAGTATAAATCCGAACACGAATTTTGACGACTAATTTGTCTAGATATTTAAATTGATATATAGATATATTGCGAAAATATAGAAACCAGTCCCTCTCGTGTGGAAACTTCGTCAAAAAACCGTCCACCTTCCGTCAAGATATAGATTTACAGACGAATAATCCGTCGAAGACTAATTATCCGTCTGTTAGCACGTCTTGAAGACGTGGCTAATAGACGAATCAGCCTCAGACGAATTTTGCTCCATAATTCGTCTTGGCACCGAATTTATACTATAGACGGATAATCCGTTTACACGGATAATTCGTCTCTAGTATAAATTCGGCCATCAGTAGGGTTAATGTTTTGCCTTTTAAGCCTCCCGCCGCAGAGCTATTGCGGAGAAATAGAAGTAACAGAGGCAGTAGACAAGTCAGGTGAACATACAATGTAGGTGAGGGTACCGGTAAACTGATGATGACTCATGCTGACGGATAGTACTATTAAAAAAGCAATGCCATTTAACCTTAATTCCATTGCCTTATTTGTTTACTATCCACGAAATAGGTCTAAATATTAAAGGGAAACTTAGAAGAACTTTGACTTGGCCTTGACCATTCTTCCGCAACGAAGTGTAACTGCTCGTCGAAAATTCATTTCATCTTAATTATTGTTGTCGTTGTTTAACGCATAAGCTTTGCTCCCTTGTGCGGGCCTTTAAATTATGTAGGATCGGGGATCCTAGAGCACGCTTTTCGGACTCAGCTTTCAAACCAGTGTACTCAATGATGTGCCGCTTAGAAGAGCTTCAAGGAATGAATGCTTACTGTAGGTATTCGAATTCGTTCTTTACCTCCAAGAAAACCCATGGGATCTACATAATTTATTATATAGGACGTCATCTAGATTTAGACAGGGCTAAAAGCGAAGCTCCGGTTAATATCTATAGTTTACTCAAACAAATATAAAAGAAACCAGCCAAAATAAACCAGTTGGTCTAATTAGCAAAAAAACAACTTTGCACGTGCAACACACTTTTTTTGTACATTTCTTTGCCGTTGTTTTGCTCGACGACAACTTGAATCGAAACTTCCAGAAACTTTCTTGTTACAAGTTTTTTATGGAGGAAATTTTGAATGTGTTCCCGTTTACTTTTTTTTGCTGCCTCTCATTTTCACCTTGGTGGTCGCTAGCATTTCTCAGTTTCTCACGACCGCTATAAAATTTTCACGTTTTTCTTCCTACGAAATTGGTCTCCTTTGTTTTTTATCTCTCGCTGTAGCTGTTTCCCTGTTTTCCACGTCAATTTAGACATTAAAATACAGCTGTAAACTATTTCATAGAGAGAAAACCTTTTTTAAATAGCGACGATGGCCGACGATCTCCGCCAAACAGAAAGTGGGTTGCCCAAAAGCGATTCCCGCCGAAAAAATGTAGCGCTAGCAAACGTATAGGAGGTTTTCACGTTACGTCATCGCCGCCATGCTGGTGGACGGTAAACAAAAGATCGCTCATTAGCTCGCTTTGTTTGTCCACCAGCATTTATTCATTTAACCATTGTTATTTGTGTCTCCCGAGATTGGATGAAAACCCCCCATAACCCTTCCTATAACCCTACCTTAGTCGGGCTGACTCCTGACTACCTTTCCCCTCCCCCAAAGTTCGTACGGACGTACGGGCGTGCGGTGACGTCATAGCCAAATTTTCTGGCATCGATGGGATCGATGGGTTCCCATTTTCTCTTAGGTATGGGCCTGGGGCTAGCGCGCGGGCGGAATCTCTGCTATTACTCCCTCTAATTTAAAAACTTGCTTATTGTCACTGTCGGCCACTGCACCCAAGATGACCATACGAAAACCCCACGCGTGTTAGCTTCACAAAAATAAGAGCTGAATTATGATTGATTGAAAAATAATGACGTGACGGAAATTGTTTCTAAGCTCAGGACTCGGTGCGTGAAACAAAAGCCGAAAAAGGCGTTTGAGGTCATTTAGCCTGACATATAAGGGAACGACTTTAAGTCCTTTAGGACTTTTAAAACATGGTCCACTGGCTTCAGTAAAATTTTTCTTCAAATTGAACTTACCGTCCATTTTCACGAAAAAATTAGTTGAAAATCACGAATATCGGATTAATATTTAAAAGTTCGAGTATCACGACAAGCAAACTATTCGCAGTTCACGAATTTTAATTTCATGTTTTCGCTTTTCACGAAAATTAATCCGGCCGTTTCATGCAAAAACCTCTTTGACCCCCTCGGAGAACAACACATTACACTGGCATTATTATCATTATTTTCCCCTGAAGGATGAGGAAGAAAACAACTTTTATGTCTTTTGGTTAATTAATTTGCCGTCGGTATGAGTATATCCAGTATATAAAGTATGTCTAGAGAATAAAGTAAGCTTATATCTTTATTATAAAAAGCATAATTTGTGTATCCGGAAGTACTTGGATGGAAGTGAGATCCTCTGCGCTTCTTTTCCAAAAAATACAGAGCAAGGCAAATGTAATCAAATCAAGGTGTTTGATTTTAACAATTCAGGATATGAATATGAAAAGTTCTCACCTCGGTTTAGTGGAAGATCCATCAACCGGCCATAAGTCAACTATTGACTTATTACTGAACATACACACACATGTATTGAGCTTCAAACAGGATTCCTCTGCGCTTGAGAATGCAAGAACGCTTTGGGTGACCATCAAACTAAGAAATTTCAGCAAGGTCATTATTGTTTGGGACACAGGAATCACAAACTACACAATTTGGAACGATCTTAATAGATCAGAACGTAGTAAATGGGTGGGCGCAAGATTCAGTGCTGCACAGCTAGGATTACCATCGCAAAGAATTCG